AACCATACCCTTCACAGCAGCACATACCTATATAGCCCATATATGGCAGTACCCCGCCCGGGGGGGGTTTGCAATATTTTTTTTCACAGACCGTATAAAGCGGTTTGCAGTTTTGTGTAAGTTTTTATCGCGGTAATCAGAAAACACAGTGATTTGCTTCCAGATGTTTTGTTTAAAGGACAGTTTAGCAAGTCCTAGACATGTCAGTCTGCTAATCTCTTTGTGTCGTCACGCAATGCTCCTCCATGTGGGGAGGAGCATTATGTGATAACACTGAAATGGTCTAAAGTCTTGTGGTTTGTTATTTAAGGCTTTTTCGGTCAATACCTTTCTATGATTAATAACATTAATTATCCAGTGATACGTGAAGCCCTAGCCCTAAATTTTGAAGATCCACCCACCCAGAAATTTTACTATAAATACTCTACTAAGCTCCCACTCCCTCTCAAATAAGCCCCCCCTATAATAGCTCCCCCCCCCCTTTTCAGGGAAGAAAGTTAATAAGCCCTCCCTCTCTATTAAGACCGCCCCTCCCCTCCCCTAATTATTCTTCTCTTGCTAATAAATGAGAGACTGTATTAATCAATTGTGACTGTGAAACTTCCTGTGGACTGATCTGGGATGGTTTATTTATCAACTGGGAGTTCAGATTTGATTTGATCCTCAGCTGCTAGCCTGCGAGCAAGCTCTCCGGGGTGCTCTGGTGGTGGGGTGGGAAAAGGAAGGAGAGTCTCAGGAATTTGAATTCCACCTCCAATTCCCCTGTGGCTCCCCTTCGACTGAGCTGTCAGATTTCTGCCAATCAGTGCAAAGCAGAAATGAGTGCGAATGTAAACAAACATTGAAAAACACGTGCGAAGGGTAATGGCGTCAATACTAATGTCATCGCCACCAATCAGCATTTCACATCGGCTTTTTTGATGGGGCTATTCAAATTCCAGAGACATTATTGCAAGCTCTTCTTCCCTTTCCCACCCTGCCACCAGAGCGTGACTGAGAGCTTGCTTGCAGGCTACTCAGCCTCATGACCTCCAGCCTTCTTGTCCTTGAGCTTCTCCACTTTGTGTTCTAGTTCTTTAAAGAGAACTGATATCATCGTCCCTTCTAAATTAAATAAGCCCTCCCTATCAAAAAAGCCCCCCCCCTAAAATGGGCTTGAAATAATTAAGCCCCCTGGGATGCTTTTTACCTTCTTGAGCAGCAAAGGGGTGGAGAACCCTTTTATTTTGCATCTGAGATAAGAGAAGAAACATGCTTTTTCTCTTGCTTACCACACCACTTTTTTTGTGAAGAAAGAAGGAAGAGCCTCTGTAGTTAGTTTAACGACTGACATTGTGCCCCAAAGTTTACAGTTACAGCCGTCCAGTCACACTGGATATGGTGTTATTCTGCAGAAAAAAGCATGAGAAAAACTTACAGGTGAACTGCTAGATTCCAAAGGCTGTAGTGGATTCCATTTCCTCAAATCTAAGAAATAAGTATCACCATTCTAGGAAGTCTTTTTACTTAGAAGAGGGGTGTGCTTGTTGCACAACCCATGATCTCATGAGTCCCTCACCCTCTCAGGCAATTCATAGCATTTCTAGTGCTTGCTTGGGAGGGTAGCCTGCGAATACAGCCGTTTCTCCTTGCTCCTCGCTGCTTACAATTCACCAGGAGGAACGTCTGCGACTGAGCGACAGAAATTCCATACTGATGATGTAAAATCTGTCCGGAGTCTGGTCGGGAGCTCTGATTGGTCGATGAAGTAGTTTTATTGTTTTACCTTTTTTTTTTATGAATGACAGACAATAGATAAAAGGCCTCAAAGGTCAAATGTAAGCGTGATGAATCTACTACAAAAACAGTCAATATATTTCCTAGAATATATTCCTCTTTAGAAAAAGTATCTGAGTTTTGCTGGAGCTCGTTCACAAAAGATCACAAAACTTTACCATAATCGACCAGGAGTAACATTAACTCAAACAAATTTACATTTGGAACTCCATGACTACCGGATTTATTATGTAAACATTGATCTATGTCATCAGTATGGAATTTCTGTTGCTGAGTTGCAGACGTTCCTCCTGGCGAAACGTTCCTGGCGGCGAGGAGCTTGGAGAAACGGCTGTATTCGCAGGCTAAGAGATAGAGTGCTCTTCAGAAAATTCAAATAGAGAACCACTCTTGGCATGGCTATATCAGGCTTTCTTTGACCCCTAAAGGAGACCTTACTGTACTGACCTAAAAATGTCGGCGTTTAGTCCAAAACATTCTCCGTGAGACCTACATCTCTAAGTGAGATGTTGAGCATCACCATTACTTTTGTATATGAATCTCCCCTGGGAAATTGTGCCGTCAGGGCAGATATGAAATGCTGGTAAGTAAACAGAGTGTAAAAACTACATGACTGTTTTCAGGTGAAGGTTACAACAGAGAAAGTATAGACTGTGACCCTACTGCTCATGGAGAGATGACTGCCATCAGACAGGCTAGTAAGAACATTAAATCGTGCGACCTGAGTGGTTGTGAGATTTACACAAGCTGTGAACCTTGTTCAATGTGCACGTCAGCTATCTGGCTTTGTAGGTGAGTTCTAGTATTAAAAGGGTTATTCTAGAGAGACAAAGGTTATCCGTGTTTTGTTTTGTTTGTAGTCACTGCTGCTGTATTTACTCCAACAATCACAAATAGAACTGAAGCTGCAAGGTTCTTCTACTGTTGTCACGTAACATGTAACAGGAGTTACCCCTCTTTTGTTGTTGTCGTTTTTTTTATGAAGCCCTCGTTAAGTTTCGTGTACCTGTATTCAGAGTGTTCTAATACGAGGCCATCTCCGAGTTCCAAAATTCTCACTCTCAGAAAAAGGCAAAGTGCAAAACTTTTCTTTTGAAAATGAGTTTTAATTTGCACGAGAACCAATCTCGACCCAGAACTCTTCTGCACATGTAGAGGAGAGAGATCAAGAGCGCATTCCCAAACCCGTAAGCACTGGGGTCGAGAATGCACGAGAAGAAAAAATCATTTTTTGTGTTAATGCCTTCGTACTGAGCCTCGCTTTGAAGCAGAGACTTGAAGCAACGCTGAAATGGCCTATTCAGCAAGCACTGCTCCTACTAGTTAGAATGTGCATAAATTAAAAGGTATTGGGCGCTGGGTCCCTACCCTGCAGCAAAGCTTTTTCTTTTGCTTGCCCGATATTGGCGTATTCGAGAAAGACTCTGCATGAATCGAGTAAGTTCTTTGTTGAGCATGCGTTGCATGTTGCTAGGATAGAACTTCAAACCCATGCTTGGTACAGCGGGCTCTGTTATGAACATCGGTTTATCAATCAACGGATGCTCGCACACAAAAACCCAGTTTGACGAGAGAAAACAAGGGGTGATTACCATTTGACAGAAAATTTCGTTAATTCCGGATTGAAGGTAAATAGTAATGTCACTTTTCGGAAATTCCAACCGAAAATTGAGGAGTACGTTTTGAGGTAGTCCGTTCGTTCCGGTCAATACGAACCAAACGGAAAATGCTACGTAGACTCACGCTACACAAATTCGCCCCTTTTTTGGATTCAAACCGTAACGGATGTGGCAATTCTGCGGTAAACTGGTAAATCGCTTATCATTATGCTTTCGACACCCAACCGGATTTTTCTGTCAAATAGTAAGCACCCAAGATTGACCAGTCTAGATGTTCGGGCTGCGGTTACTTCAAAGGATTGCGTGATTCAGGCAAAGCCTCCCGGCTTTCTCCGCCTCGATCAAGAAGAGGGCAAAAGCAGGCTCTGCTCCGGCGCAGGGTGGCACTGGATTTGCGTTTGAAAATGCTTTTTCCTTTTTCACAATCTATTTTCTTAGGCTGGATCGCGTTTACTATGGTAATCGGTTAAGTGATACCCAGGACATTATGGACTTGACTCCTCTTGTCAAAGATGTCGCTACTCCTATTGATCAGCGGTCTACTCCAGGAGAGCAAATCAAAAGCAAGAGCAGGCAAGCGAAAGACGTCATTATAAAGTGGGCCAATAATCCAAACCTTAACGAATATTTGTTAACGAAGATGAAAGATGAAAAGGCACAATAACGTACCGAACGATATCTACCTGACTAAGACAGATGATCGGCCACCCAGCTACTATGAGAGCGTAGATAGTTTCAAAATCTTCTCTTGACTGTGATCCCAAACCTGAATAAAGTAAAGTTACCTTTCTTAGAAAGAGAGAAGTGTGCAATTCCTGAAATTGAATTTCGATATGTTTTTGTCCTCATACACCGTCCGGGGGCTTGGACTTTGGACCGTTCGCGTTTACCTTTAACGCCGAATCCATTTTATTTAAAAAATGGGATACTCGTAGATGGGTTTGAACAATGGAAAATAAATTTTTTTTTTCAGAAAATTCCGATTGGGAAAACAGGATTTCTTCAGTTTTACGAAGAGAGAATGATTATCTTTTGATTTTGTAGATCTTCGGACTTACGTACGTGTCTTTCGGAAACTTTAGACTGGATTGACCCGCCGAAAGGTGTTGTTGTTCAACCGAAGGGATAACTACTTTCTCGGTTTCATTGCCACGCAACATGCAACATACTCGCCCCTCTTTTGGGCTCAAACCCCGTGTAAGAGAAAAAAAATTCGATGAAAAGGTAATGCCACTGGGCACCCCAACCGGATCAGTTCAATGGTAAGCGTCATTCAGAATCTATTTAAAAAGGCTGCGAATAAATATAGCGTTAGACTGTAACAAAGGAAGTGAAAAGGGAAAGCGACATTCAGTTTAGCTCATATAATGCAGACCGGAATGAAAAGACAGTCCAAGTTTCCGTAAATTGACCTTACCATTAACTTTACGCCTGCAGTTTTGTTGGCTTAATGGTAAGCATCTAATTAGGTTTCAAGTCACATTTATCTAGCCAGTCACTAGCCAAGCTCGTTTGACAAGGTCGTGAGGGTATGTAAACTTTATAAAATATGCCCAGAAAGGTAGTTGATGTGTTGTTACTATTAATCTCCATTTGACCGTGTGTCATTTAAGTGCCTGTCAGCTTTACTAAAAAACGGAAACTGAAATGATTCTGAATGAATTTCGAAAGCGTCCTTAAAATCTTGTGTTTGGTGCTGTTCACTTAAAGTGAACGTCGTGTAAACTGAGATCAACTCTTTTGTTTCTAGGACAAACAATGATACAAGAAGTCACACGATACAATGGCGGCAAATTAACACATAATTAATTTACACCAGCAAGAAGAGCTAGTCGACTCACATCTCGGTCGTACGCAAATTTAAACATGAACACTGCACAGACCAGCCGCTTGGGGGAAAATAAACCCATTTTAGTAAAACTTGTTCTTGTAGGAAAGCTCGGTGTTGGAAAATCAGGTAAAGACACCTCATTGCAGTTGAAGTGTTTAACTTTCTTGAGATCTTTTAACATTTTATGGTGCTTAACTATTTTCCATTGCCTTTGTTGTCCATGTTGTTTTAAGCACTCGTCTGTTTTTCTCAACGTAGCCTATAAACACTATTCATATTTTTGATATGTTAGTATGCTTACATCTTCTGTATTTTCATAGCTATGATCGTGCGGTTTCTAACGAAAAGATTCATTGGGGAGTATGACCAAAACATTGGTAAGTTGACTATAGTTTGCTATGTGTTTGTTTTGTGAACTCTCTAATGGAATCCGGCGTCAAACATCTCAACTAACCGTAAACTCTCATTGTAAAGCGCTTTAATGGAAATGCCTCCTATCTCTGTTTACACATGAACACATTTATATCTTTCAAACTTATCCTGGGTTATGAAGTGCCGGCCGCTCGGCATAGCAGTTTGTTATTAAGTAAGTGGATTTACATATGTGATTAACAACCTCATGCACAAAATGAAATGCCCTGTTCTAAAAAAGTGAATTTTTTTACCCCAATTCTACAATAGGTTTACAAGTCTCTTAGTATGCTTTTAGTGAATTTGATTTCTAAGAAGAAAGACTGAGTTTGTGCGAAAATGGCCTATGAACTCTGAAAAGCGAAGGCAAAGTGATCGAGTGGATGCATACGTACAGAGAGAAAATATATATGATTTGGTCAGTTTTAAGAGATTAGGAACAGACCGTGTTGGTAAATAGTTTATTTTTGACATCAAAGCTTGAGGTAAAATAGTTTGAAAGATTGAAATAGTGGCGGTTGTAAAGTTCTTGGCAACTAACGGCACGAGTGCCCCGGCTACGCCATAAGCGTATTTTGTACAACGCGATTTTACTGATTCCCTAGCGACTGAGCTACGCGAAAAAGGTGCTGTATTGAGGCTGCAAATTACAGCAACTTAACTAAGCAGGTTTCAATGGCTTACAAAGAACAAGTGGATTAACTAAAGTGTTAAAATTTGAAAATTAATTTTGATTTTACATCTTTTAAGTGTCGGGCTGTGATTTCTGGCAACTTACTTTCACTTAATAAATGACCACAAATCGCGTGCCTAGCTCAGAGAACACTAATATTGATACTATCGAAAAATAAACCGACTATCGATAAGAAACCACCTTATCTATATGTTTCCTTTGCATTAAAGCAGAATTGTCTGATTTGTCACTCGGTTATAAACCACAATATTTGAATAAGATATGCAAAAGATTATCATGTAGTCTGGTTCATAGCCGATTAATGTTATGAGTTTGGCATCTCATAGTAACTGTTACTTTCTGGGGAAAAAACACAGATTCAGAAAAGAAGCTCACACTTTTTCGAGGTTAGTGCATCCATTTGTAACTGAAAAAGAGTTTCTCTTACACAGATTTTTTCTTACCAAAAATAGCTCGAATTGAACAAGGCCAGCCAGGTCCGGACCATACATTTCCCGTCTGAGAAACCGCGTGGAGGTTGTTTGTTGAAATATCAATATTTGTTTGAAAAACAGCTTTCACTTAGAGCCCCGTCTAAAATTCTGGCGGAAAATACTCTGACTGTTATCATGCAGGACTTGATTTGATTGTTTGTTTAATAGGCACTTTTTAATGTACTAGAAGCCTTCCGTGCCTCCAAACTCCACCTGAAATGATATAATCTTTTCGCTGTTTGGAAACTTGAAGGACTCTTTACAAAAAAATGTAACTCTTACGTTCAGCATAACGCACTTGACTGGGACACACAGTCTTTAAAGGGTACCTTTTTCTGGTAAGAGTTCAAAAGCTGAGTAGTTCCGGGATCTTTTGAGTCCAATAAGTAACAAGAAAGGAGCCAAAAGCTCGGTGTTATTCGTGGTGAAACCGATAGTCTGGACCTTTCACAGTCATCGCTGCAAAGACACGCATTTAATGGCCCTCCAAGCTATAGTATTTTAACTTTTTCTCAAGGGACTGAAAAGTTGTTGTAGGCGAAGTGTTTTCCTTCAAGTGTTATAATCAATTAACTTACTCTCGTAGTTTGCACACAAATCACGAAACACAGCTAGTGCCCAAAAAAACCGATCCTGATAACACCAATAGAAGATCAAGACAAAGTAACAATTGGTTTTATTTTTTTGGTTCTGATATTTTAGTTTGAAACACAAACAATGAAAAGGACAAAAACACAAATGCCAGCCCTAAACTACCCTTCGTGCAAGCTCTCTCTAGCTAGAGACGCGTGCGAGCTCTTCCAGCTAACTCTACCCCTGTCATGAGACGAGAGAGCTTGCTTGTAAGCTGACTGATATATTTTGTCAGAGGTTAATGTAATGACTCTTGTAAAAATATCGATAAAGACACACAGCTAAAAGGTAAACAAAGTAAATGCAAGTAAATGCAAGTAGTATCGGCTTTGCAACAACAGAGTGTTTACATTTCAATATTTTTTCCAATATTTTACGTAATAGAACTCTCTCCTAAAACAGATGATACATTTGGGTCAGGTTTAATGTGTTCGTCTTTTATAAAAGAGATGTACTTCTAAAAGAGTCATCTAAAAGGAGTGGAAAAAGGCGAGGAGCAACTTTAAAGTATCCTTATCAGCGAGGCTGGGGTGTCTGTCTATAGAGGTGTCTTTGTATCATTGATTATTCATGTTATTTCTGAGGTTCAAATGAAGGCTTTTTTATAAATGTCGTAGTAAAATACTCCAGCATTTTACTGAGCTCGATAATATACCGAGAAACTGAGCAAGTAAAGTGCCTGAATAGCTCTCATTACGTAATTTTGTGTCGTAGTTACTAGCTCTAGCTCTAACTATGCTCTAATGTACTTGTGAAATTTGAAAGAGCTTTAATTTCACGATTTTGATTCATTATCTTTCAAGGCACAACGATAGGTTTAGTTGGCGGGTGTGAGGAGAGAGTTTGCTTGGCGGGTGCGTGTTGAGGTTGCGGTTCGAGGCTGTGTGTACGGATAAAAATCGTTGGTGTAATTTGTAAGTTCAAGCTTTACTCTACCCCAGGGTCTAGTAAGCTGGCAAAGGAACAACATGAGTACATAACATACTATGTTAAAAATATGTTGACTTTTAATAGAGCGAGAAAATCAGCGTAGTTTATTCCCTGACCAATGAGAATACGAATAAATCAAACAGATCTCACAGTTACTACTTGCCGCGAATTAGCGAATGAAAACTCGACTGGTTGAATCACGAATAAGCTGATTGTTAAAGAAAGTGGCGGGTGATTTGTCAGCCAATCACAAGTAAGAAATCACTTCAAAAATTCGAAAGTGTAGGTTGAAATTGCTCTATATATCACTTAGCCTGCGAACACAGACGTATTTCCGGTCTTCGCTTCTCTCCACCCGAAAATAAGACTATATATCACCCCTAAATTGAGGATTTACTGGTAATTTTAACATAAGCCCTAGAAATCATGCAGTTGAAATTGTTCCAGGACGACCATCCAATGCTTCAAATTCTGTCAACAGGATGAGGACGCATACCGCTGGCCGTAAACGTCGCGTTGAACCCATATCTTTCGTTATCGTTCGGTCTGACAATCCTTGAGCACAGTCTTAGACGTTTTTAAACTGAAATGTTTTTATCTTAGGTTTAATGTATCATTATCATAAAAGGCTGGAAAATCAACAAGTGCGAGTAGAAATTCTCGAGTCTGGAGGCAAGGTTAGTTAACCAAAAAATATTTCCTATTTTTGACTAGTAAATGATTGTTGTGGTGTATTGCTACTATGAAACTACAATAAATAAATAAATAAATAAATAAATAAATATTATTTATTTATTTATTTATTTATTTATTTATTTATTTATTTATTTATTTATTTATTTATTTATTTATTTATTTATTTATTTATTTATTTATTTATTTTAACGATTTAGAGGTAGCCGTCCACATAGTGGTTCTTCGTCTACCAGTTCCTGGTCGAATTGAAATTTGGAAATGTTGGTTTTTGAGGAGAAGGGAAAACCGGATCACCAAGAACCAACAACAAACTCAACTCACATTTAGCGTCGACACCGGGATTTGAACCCAGGCCACAATGATTGGAGGCGTGTGCTCTCACCACTGCGCCATCCTTGCTCCCCTCTCTCTGCGAACTTGATGTTAACCAGTTATTAACCAGCTTCCGTGTTCATAGAACCTATATAATAGCAAAGGTTATACAGTTCTATGGGATGTTTACTTCCGGGTGGTCTGAATGTACATGGTCTTTGAACGAAACTGAAGTTATTTTACTGTATTCATCAGGACTTTATTGAGAGCAGTGATGTCCACACTTTGTGGGGAGATGTGTTTTTGTTGGTGTACGCTATTAACGACCGCTCAAGCTTTGAAGAACTGATCCCACTGAGACAACACCTAGAGAAAGTTCGAGCGGCTGATAAACCGCTTGTAGTACTGATCGGTAACAAGAAGGACACAGAAAATGACAGAGAAGTCGGCAAACAAGAGGGACTTCAGTTTTCCAAGGAAAATAACTGCTCGTATTACGAAATCTCCACAAAAGCAAGCTACGAAGACGTCGAAAATGTGTTCTCTGAGGCAATACGAGACATCGCGCGACATAAAATGACACAACGGGCTTTAAACGGGGTAAAACAAACTTCTCACAACAAGATTATGGAAATTGTCGAAAAGAACGTGGGGAGAAACAGAGCTATGTCAAGCGTGAAAGAAACCATCGACGAATACTGTGCAACGAGGTCTGAAGAACTCTCGCAGGACTTCTCACGTGATCGACGCAATACTTTTACATAGAGCGCTTTTAAGTTTGAGTGTGTATGGTACTCCTGTGATTTATTTGGGTTGACTTTTTTTACACTTTACACTTAAATGGCTTAAAGCATTTGAGGAACAAGGATTAACACAGTCGGTTAGTGCACGGCCTCCTGTTCGGGAGCCGGCTCTGAATTCTATTCCCAGTTGTGAGTACAGATCCTTGTTTGTACTTCATTCCTTTCCGTGTGGCTTTAACTAGCTTTAAATACCTGTTAAACGGAGCACTGATGGAAAATCAAAGGGAAGGAGCGCGGGGGGGGAGGGGGGTGGGTTTGTGGGGTAAAATGAGCGCATACCGCCGTTCTCGTGTTTAGCCAATCAGAAGAGACAGAAGAAGTGAGTCTTAAGTATCCCAAGGTCGCATTCTGGTCGGAAAATACTGAATACTGATGTAGTGTAACCAGACAACACCGTTTGTAGCCTGGAACGTCAGGTGTCTTTAGAACATACAAAGAGGAAAGAGGAACGGATAAGATTACGGAGATTTGTACGGTCAAGTTATCTTGACTTAACCGTGAAAAATGCTGAGTTCCAGTTTTAACTGGACAAATAGCATCAGCTTTTCGCGTGGAAAAGGTCTTTTAAAGAAGGTCAAATGAATAACCGTAAACCTAGTAAGTACCAGAGAAAGAACCACGCCTTACTCTGCAGTTTATCCTGCCGGGTTATGCCGAATTCTGGTGTTCCTTTGAGACCTTTGAATACACAGTATTTCAGTTGAGAAGTCTCTATTCTTCCTTCCCTCCTGGGTGGAGAAGATTTAGTAGTAAACATGTTAACTCTAGATAGTAATTATATTCAATACACAATCTTGAGAAGGTCATTTATTTCGCATTAATTATCCACAGGATTAACGACTCGCAGCTACAAATTCTGTGAACAGCTTCCATGCTCTGCACGCTGTATTGGCTGTATTCAAGACTACATGTCAGGCTTAGTTGTTGAGCGAAGGGTCGGTTAAATGCCACTTACAAGCTAGAACATCTAGTTTTCGATCGACATTGACTTTAGCTTCAACCTACATTGTAGCTTTATTCTGTCCGCTATATACAGTTGTTTACGAAGAAAAAATAACATTATTTACACTAGTATATATGTTAGTTTAGTTTATTAGACCTATACAGCCCGGATCCGGATGTATCATTAAACGATATCGTCAGACGTGAAGTAATTGGTAGGCAGAGTAGAAATGACTGAGTACCGGTAGTATAAATTATCCATATTTCCTTAACAATTAAGTAACTGTACACGATTATAATTTTAATTATAATCGTTAAAAGCGATTGTCACTTGAGTGCTGCAATCCTTTAATTAGTAACCAGCTGATAATTAATCGTCCCAAGAGATACAGAACGACGAGGGCGATTCCTACTTGTCATATGGGAGCCATCCCCCTCCCCACCCCTCACAGCGGAGAAGCGCGTGCCCCAGGAAGTCAACTACTTCTGATTGGTTAAAAGAAGCTAAGTAACAAAGGGTATTTTACGCAAACTCGAAATGAAGTGAAATTCCGAACAAAATTCGGCACTCAATCAAATCAAGTTCCATTAGCGTTAACGCAATAAATATAATTGTATCTGACTAGCAGGCTGCTGTCTGGACTGACTTCCTTCTAAATGGCATTGTTTTAAGCCCCTTTACTTTCGCCCATGAAGAAGGCGACTTAATTTCCTTGGAAGGAGACAGCGCGTTAGGTGGGGTAGGAGAAGGACACGTAGATATCATCGCTGATGAGTCGTGGGATGGATGTGCATTCAGATACTGTCTTAAAATGTCATTAAACATGTTCATAGTCTCCCTGTAATCCTCCGAAATTGATATCTCAAAGAATCCACAGTTTAACGAGTAGGTGAGGCGTGACCCATCTGTTTCGCGTACTTTCCTGAAATGTTCTAGGTCGGTCTTGGTTCCTGCGATAATTATGCTGCTTGAATCGAGTGTTCGGTGTCGTCGGATGTATTTTACAATCTTCCCAGCCTCCTGGAAGCTGGCACGATCCGTTATAGAGTACAGGACAAGAAAAATATCTGCATATGCAATGATATTTTCCATCTTCTCATCAGTGTTCTAAAGAAGAAACAATTTAAATAGACAGCTTAACAGAGTACCATGTACCCAGGATCGCTTTACTCTGTGGTCCTGTTATAACTGTAAAATATTATAGGGCAAAGCTGCCGAGCACTTCACACTACAGAACCTATTGTTACAAAACTGTCGCGAGAGGGTCCAAGATGCAACCAGTGAAAGATGAAATTTCAGTAAGTGTGTGCATTAGCACGAAAACTTAACTAACTTAGGTAATTAACTTAACTAAGTTAACTTAACACTTCATCCTCTTTGTGATATCCTAGCAGTAACCGATAGGTAGGAAGTGCGGGCGAACATGTGGATTTACCTGAGAGATGTGATTTATGGAACCGCTTTCGTAATTGCGTACGTGAATCACAGAAAGCCCTTTTAGTTGCAGTGTCAACAAAAGGAATCGCGGCGGACCATGGGCATGGAAACTGAATTGAACAACACAGTAAACAATACTCGTGTTTAATTCAATGATTTTAGTCACAGTTACTTAGCTACAATTAGCCTGCGAATTAAAAAATGGTGAGGAGCGAGAAGAGGAAGGCAAAGATACAATGAAAACAGTAATGAGTGTCACAAAGCTCAACCTGAAATGTATACAGTTTATAAAGTACCGCTGACCAAGAATTTTCCGCGGGCTCCTCTTGTCGCCCACGATTGCAGACAAAAAGGCGGATCGTGTGATGGTCAGCTCTCTTTACAGCGGACTGTAGGGACGCGATTTAGAGTTCTGCAATTTACTTTTGCATTGGGATTTAGCTGCTGTCCGTATTACCAGGGTGTCCGTTATAGCGCTATGTTCGCAAGGCGAGAGTTGACTGTAGTCGGGCTTATGAATGGATCAGGGATATTTACCTTTCCCGCGGTGTCCAAGATGTCTAAAGCAAGGTACTCTCCGTCCACGTCAACGTGGTGTCTGGTTGTTGTTTCTGAGAACAAAAGAGAAGTTATCAGTCATAAAGACAAGAAAAAAAGGAACATAATATTTTCAAATCAAATTCCTTAGGGAGAGACTTTGTCCAGTCGTTGGGAGATTTACATCAGAAAAGAATTTTCAAAAGGAACCTGGAGCTGTTTTATATTTTGAAAAGGTATATCATCTCTTAATTTGCAAAATCATCAATTGTTGTGATGGAGGCAAATAAATGGTAGATAGAAAGATCGCACTTAGATAAGACGTATGTGGATCGGGCCATGGTGTCGAGCTCATTGCAGTTTATAGTTTACCCAAGAGGTCAGTCTCTTTCACAAGAATTGAAAGCCGTTAGATTGTAGCAAGAGAGAATAATCTCCTGATTGTACACTCCTTCTAGGACAAGTTGCTTAGCACCCAAAATCCTTCACCCTTTCAGACAGCTTCTGGGCTTGACGGTCGAGCGGATCTGCACCACTCACGGCAGTCCAAAAGAAGTGATGACGCCACATGACGTAAGAACTGCGTCAAGATTTCAATTAAACTCGCCCTGGATTGTACTAACGACATGTCCATCATGGGATAAAAGCCGTAAAAGTGCCTAAATGGGTCAAACTTCTCAAACTCAATACCAAGTGGTCTGCATTTATGAGGATCGCTCCCGCGGGCACTTCGTTCCCATCCTCATTTTGAGCAGGGTATGAATGAGGTTAAACGCAAGATTTATTTCTGTCGGTTCTTTTCTCGTAAATTGTCAAATGTTGCGCTTGTAAGCTCAGTTGCTTTGTTTGATTAAGTCCGTGGTTGTCGTAACTTAACTGCTCAAGTAGTTAACTCTTGCAGTTTCCTTTATACAGCATATGCGTTTCACATGAATTTGTTTTTCCGCGCGATCCGCTCTCAACTTTAATTTATGATCTTGAGTTCTCTGTGGGAGGCCAAAAATATTTATCCTTTCCGTGGAAGCGCATACCACTCCAGCTGTGAGACGATTTTAGGACAATGTTTATAGTCGTTCTGCCTTTTTCGGGTTTTGCCGTTAACAATAAAAAGATTTTGTTTAGTTTAAAAACCGGAACATATGAAGTCTATTGCTGGTTACGTTGGAATGATCAACATGTCCAATTTGCGTCATACATGCATTCACGGTACAAAATCACTTTTACCACACACCTCGATCCGCTATACATGGTATAATTAATTAGAAACAAGTGTTGCCTTCAAAATTTGGTAACCATGACTTTGAAAGTCAAAAGAACAATTTTTCATCAAAGGTAACTGATAATTTTAAAAATAAATAAATAGATACAGCGGCCAGCAGTTCATTCAGTCAGTTAAAATAGCTTTTCTAAAGCTTTCTAACGCAGAGATGCTTTTAAAAAATGCCCGTTTTGGTCATAAATGGCTTTTGTGGATACGCAATACCACCTTAAAAAGTCGGGCCAACGTTTTTAACTTCTTGCTTGTTCCTTCATTGACACCCGATTGGTAATTACTTTACTTTAGTCCTTAGTAAAAACCTTAAACTTAATTCAGTACTTGATTTCATTTCATTTGAGTTATTTTGATGTAATCATTTATGTGTAATTCAGTGGGTTTTAAAATGAACGGGGGTGTGTTCCGCAATAAAAAAATAAGAAAAAACCGTGGTAAAAAACATTAATATGAAATACCCACCCAGTGTTTGGTCATACTCTCCGATGAATCGCCTGGTTAAGAAACGAACAGTGAGGGCTGAAAAAAAAAATGCGAGTGAGTATCTTTTTGTATGTTTTCCAACTGGAGTAATTACAGATCGGAAAAAAATGCCAATAAAAAATTCTCAAAATTTAATTAATCCCATCATTAGAAATGCCGGTTCCTTCCTTGGACAAAAAAATTGAAGTGTTAAGTGGGGGTTTCCCGTCGGTAGAGTCTTTATGAAGAGGAAAAAAAATAATTGGATTTGTGTTGCGAACCTCTATTGGATTATAGGATTAATCTTTTTGCACAAATTATTATTAATGAACATTTAAATTAACCTAGTCAAATTATAAGCTTACTCATTGTGGTGTACAATGCGAGAGGTTGAGAGTTATAATGTTTTGACGAGCTAAAATGTAAAAATAACTGCAACAATAGTGTTTAGTAACACAATTGTTGGGTGAAAGGGTGATTTATATTTACCGTGAGATACTAGAATTTTCTACGTTCATTTTTCCTCTAATAACGCTTCAAGCGTTCCATTTTTGACCTTTCCATTTTAGTCTTTTCATTACATTAGAGACCGATACTTTTACGCGAGTTGATGAGTTTGTGTTTCTCAGCTGTCTTTTTTTTTTTTTATCAACCGGTCAGTGTTCGGAATACACTTAGTCTAACAGGGAAATCTAGCTGTATTTCCGGTGAACATGAATCTAGCAAATCGAAATAAGACGGACCTCAATCATCAGTTTTTGCTGTAAGTTATATTTTACCAAATTGAAGATTGACGAGCTGAATCAATGAACTGATATGAAAACTTAATGATACCATAAATACACAATCCACTTAATAGCAGGTATTGATACATATACGTTAATCATCAAGTGGTACTATATCTCCTCATATTTGCCAAGAGAAAAAAAAAAAATGTAAAAAAAAGCGGCCCATGCAAATGGAGACCACACAAAAGTACAGCAAGTTTTATCACGTTTTTATCCCAAAATATCAAATGACTGGTCATGTTGATCACACCGCATGATTTGCTGTCTTCTTTCAGCGATAAGTTCTTGCTTCTTTAACAACGTTTTCAATGTTTATAACGTCTTATAGTTCAATATATTGGTTAAAAATGACGAGAGTTAGATTCAGTCAGTTCCCGCCGTTTTATAGCTTTTTATGGTCTTAAAAATGAATCAGTAACGCATCGCGTCTTGAATAAGCGCTAAATGCTGTACAGTACTTCAACGCAGGCTGTACAAATCACCGGGGTACATGCTACGCTAAAGTTCAAGTTTCCTCCGTACCTGTTTTTCCTACTCCATCCTGACCCATCACTGCAATCCGAATGTTTCGTAGATTGACCTGTGTGCTAAGGCCAAGTTTTCTTCTTCCCTTCATAGCTTGTCTGCTTGAATCTTTTTCCACGGAGTCTGTTTGAAAAGCAAGCAAGATCCGCTAATGCTGAACACTCTGTTGCTACTAATTATAGTGATCTTTTGTGACTGCTCGCATTGTTTATAACCTGGCTTGAGGCAATAAATTCCATTGATTACGAGAGATTGACCTGCTGAGCGGTCAAGGGTATAATATTGCCTGATTCGAGCGTAAACGTGATATAAGCGGGGAGTATAGTTTTTTTATCGTGACCAGTTGTTGGTTAATGGGGAAACTGTCAGTAGCAATATTAAAAGAATTGCTTTTTGTGAGTTTTTATTACACCTTTACAGGCAATGCTATCTTAACTTTATAAATCACACTGAACACTATATAAGTCACTACTCTTTAGCACCTTGTGGCTTTGAAAAGAATGGCCTAATTAAGCAATCATATCTTCATTAATCTTGCGCCACTAACGAAAGAGGGATTAATTCAAATGCAATGAGATAAGAGAAAAGAAATCTGTGAACAGTTAAATTTGAGGTTGCTTCCGACAGGTGTACAACAGTAAACATGCCTCTGATAATCGTGCGAAGCGAACGGCGGGAAAGTACGGTTTATTTTTATGCAAAAAATCCTTACATACTCAGGATACTGCTAACACCGGCGTGTTTACAATCAACAGTGCACTAGAATTTGTATTCATGAACTGATTGTACTTCGCGTGTAGTACGTGCCAATGCTAAGACACGTACAACAAGCAACACTGACTGCAAACGTAAGTCAATTCCTCAGTTCTCTTAGAAAGCAACATTAACTCATCAATACCGGATATCCACCAGTACTTATACAGACCGTCAAATCTGTTGTGTGGGTTTGCTTTTAATTAGACAGAACAATAGAGCCGTGACGTTTCCACGTGACTAATTTAAAATGCTTTAAGTTTAAAAGATAATTGTTACCTTTTAGCGAGTTTTTCTGTGAGACACTAGAGGATGAGGATAATTATATTATGCTTTTATATTATGTTAGTAAGGCACTGTGTCTGAGCTATAAGACATGAGCTAGACCTTAATAAATTTCATTATTAATATTATTGTTATTATTATTATTATTATTATTATTATCTCTTTTATCACAGTCTTTGCTGGTGTTCTTTTTGTGCATCAGCAGGGCGCAAACCATGCACCTAGAGCGTCAGTCACTTATTATTATTATTATTATTATTATTATTATTATTATTATTATTATTATTATTATTATTATTATTATTATTATTATAGTTCATTCACTATTTTCGGAACTTGGTAAGGTTTACTGCAAGAAGGTGATATAATGGCTCGTGATTGACTAAGTTACAATTAAAAGACTTTCTCTTACTAGATAATTGATTCGTTTGTGAAGTTTATTGAAGAATTTTGCTTCTGTGTCGTGTGTGCATTTTTGACTGTGAGATTATAGTATTAACTAGTCTGTGAACAGGCTCTCTGTTTGGGGAAAGGGTGAAAAATCGCGAGGAGAGGGAAGCAAAGGGTGAAAGCCTCTCACCCTTTTAATAAAAGAGATATTTTATCGGAAACTTTGTACTTCGGCTCGGGATCATAAGTAACGAGACTCTGAGAAAAGCTCAACAAAATACACGTATGAATTAACTGCGTTCGATCCAGTAAATGCTGGATATGGCGTTTCCGAGGGTCCAATTTTCAAACATTTTTCGGGGGGGAGTATGTCCCCGAACCCCCCTGTATAAATCACGCATTCGGGGCTGATAGTCGGCTTGTTTCCACAGTAATCTGGTGCTTAATGCAGTTACAAAAAAACTCAATACAGTGGACAAAACGAATGATGATACCGAGTTTGGACGAAACAGAAGTTTGAACACAAAATAAACACTACAAAACAAAACTAAACAGTGCCACTGAGAAGTCAATAGGAGATGAAAAGTCTTCGTGAATCATGAATCTAGAAGAAAATTCTTGTAGGAATCATGAATCATCGAGGCAAAAACGACCGGAACCATGAACATCAAGACTCAAATTCTTCCGCTTCTACCCCCTATATTTAGCTTGATGAAAGTGTCGTGAAACGTGTTTCAAGGGGATGACACATTTGTAATAGAATTATACCATGTGTTTAAAAATGACCTTTTTTAACAGGCGAGTTTACCCCATATCGAAAACAGACGTACAAGTTACTCGCCCAACAATCACGTCAATTTAGCCCACGTGATGAAAAGCTTCCACATTGCTTTATATAAGATTATAAACTTGAAAAAGAAACTATGTGGTCCGTAATGAAACGGTATAGTATTGGACGATCAGTCAAATGGTTAAGTCTGTAACTGTTCAGTAAGGCCTGTTTCAAACGTCGTGCTTTTGCTGTGCTAAGCTGCATGGCTCGACTGTAGCTCGAATGCAGCATGACACTAGCACGACTTGGTTTCAGACGTCGAATTTAATTCAGTCGAATAGAACCGCTGTTGCCGAAAACAAAACACAGAAATAAAGAAACGATTTAGCAAACTTTTAATGTATTCTAATGTATTCATAATTTATAATTTGAGTGCGGCACGGCAAGCGCGACGTTTGACTGGTTTGAAACCAAGTCGTGCTACACGGCAGTAGCACGACTTGGTTTCAAACGTCGCGCTACTGCAGTGCTAAAGTCGAATTTAATTCGATCAATGTAGTTCGGCATGGCAGTAGCACGACCTTTGAAACGGGCCTAAGTAGTCCAATTACTGTTTTCTTAGAGCATAAAGGAAGGCAGATATTTTCTCTCAAAGCTTCTAATTTTCTGGACCCTATCGGAATGATTTGTTTTTGTGATCCTGAAAGTGAAAATCAAAGCCATTCGCTATCTAGCTTATGTTACAATATTCCCTATATGGCAAAGAGCCTTATTCGGTCGACCAATCGGAATATCAAAAAGCACGTCCTGTACACTTGGTACACGTCAACTGAAACAGCCAGTACGAATCCCTAAGCATGCATGCTAAATATCATTTTTTAGTCAATAATCACAGTTAGTAGTGATAACCATTTCAAGAGCCTGCGTGGCAGGCGTTTGAAAGGGAAGGCGCGGGAGAAACGCGAAGGGGGCGCGCCTCTCGCGTTTCCCTCGCGCCCAAAACCCCCTTTCCTTTCCTTTTCAAATGCCTGCCACGCAGGCTTCCATTTCAAAGGCTTCTACTATATCACGAGCCTCCCCTTGAAATAAATAGACGTGACGAAGCTCGTTGATATACGATACTACCTAGTCAGCTACACCAATCACATTCTATTGTTTTAATTTTATACTTTCAAACCCTTACTTGTAACAAACTTTTAGTTTTATCTTCATTTTTCTTTTATTAGCCCCTGAAGAAGGTTTGTCTTTCAAACCGAAGTATTGGGCAAATTTGTTTAAATATATTTTTTTGTTTTATTCTTTGTTCACTTCAGTGTTCATCGCCTTGCCGTGGTATTTTGCCGTTTTATATTTAAAAAAAAAACAGTTTAACACGAGGGAAAATATTATCTTTTTGCCAAATAGTCAATTTTTCTTTACTAGGACGAACAGGTGAACGTTTTTTTTTACGATTTTTTATAAAGAATAACGTGATTTCACCGTGTTTTGCTCGACAAGCTAGCCCGTCACAGAGGGCTTTGGATCGTGAAGTTGTTCCAGGATTTTTCATGTTGAGACAGTTCAAGGCAGAGAGAATTAACTCACTTATATGACAACAAGTTTTACCTTAGTTCACAGGCATGTACAAGAAAACTCCCGCTGAAGCTCTTTGAGAAAGCAGTGTCTATTTATTATAAACTCAAGTTCAATTTCAAACATTTAATTTTTCATTCTTCATGAAAACATATCTTTCCACATGTTCACATTTAAGAATTCCGTTACTTGAAAGTTTTCATCGATATCAATTCCCAATAAAAATTCAATGACTTCACAGACTCGATCCGCACCATGCGGTGACAACACAGCTCTTGAGCAAAAGTTCAGTTGTTAGATCACGTGACTAGTTTTCCCGCGACATGTACGCAATAAATTTCTCACAAGCGCGGATACTAAACGAGCCATGTTACAACTAATATCAAAATTATTGCTGAAAGACTATTTCAGGAAACCGATCAAACTTCAAGTAATTTCGGTAGACTTTGGTAAACTTTAAGTAAGCATTTATTAAACTTTGACAAAACTTTGGATGAGGTTGTATTTGATTTTGAGTTTGATATTAAAATAGAGTTTAGTCAGTTCAAGAAAAAATTCCTTTCTAGCGCATTTTCTCTTTTTACCTCAAAGAGCATGCTTCACGAACATCGAGGTCGCTATTGGAGGAAAAAGTTCCCGTGAACGATTTTGGAAGAAAAGTTCCCAGTGCCGAGAAATATTGCTGCAAGTAAAATAGGTAATGGCGTCATTTCGTTGCTATGACAACTTCGATGTTATTGTAACCCTGATCATAATAAATTTTTATCTTAGTTTATTTAATACAACCGTGATGAAAATTTTAATTTCCAAATCTTTGTTTAAACTGACCCTGAAAAACCTTATCGAGCCACCTTAATTAATTGCATTAGCTGTAAACAATTTTTAATGCGATAATGACTGACATTTGAATATCAAGATAGATCGCAACCCTCTGGTTATGAATTTGCAGCGATAACATCGAGTTCAAAAACAGAGTAAGGGAAAAGAGACACCCATGGTAGTTAAAATAAGCATCATGTTCCTTTTTAGGCTTGGCTGAGTGATATGAACCCTAGATTACGTTTTGGTGCTGCTTTTCCATATGTTTTTGGTGTTAAATCGTTGAAAATTGGTCCGCGCTTCTTGATTGATTTAGAATCATACCTGATAAGATCTAAAACATTTTGAATTCAAAAGAGCCACCGGTAAATATGGGTTTATGCAGACTGTTTTCAGCTCCGACTGAAACAGGCTACTAAGCTGATAAAAATCGACAAAAGTATTTTAAAATTGAACTAAGACCGAGTTTTAAGATGATCGGCTGACCCTCCGCGTTACCGGTGTTGTGGTAGTCCACCAGTTTGTGTCTTGATCTGCGGACAAACTGCCGGGGGCGACGTCAAACAAAACGCTTACTCGAAACAGTAGGGTGGTGTATCTATCAGTTCCAAATCAGCTCACTGTCACTAACTTGTTGTTGTTTTTTACACCCCAGCAAAGCTGCAGTTTAACATTTGTAATTTGGCACTCGTTACAGCCGCTGCGTGTGTCTAACAGTTGCCGAATTTCTTCGTACATTGACATCAAAAAAATAATAACATTAATCCCGTGAACTTACTGTCCAGTTTTCTAGACTCGTAGTCGCTGCGAATAAGCCCTAGTGACCCAACCACCCGTAAAAGGAATTTATTTACGGCATTTCAAAAGAAAGTGAAATAGAGAATAAATGGCTTGTGAAAGCGCGAAATGTTATCTAAGTGAGTTTAGGCTATTTTCCGAGACGAAATGAAATCCAAATAAACTTATCTGGCGCACTAATATTCGTCTTTCACTATGGTACACAAAAATCAGTAATGAGACAAACGCACAAATGTTTTACATCAGATTTTAGTAGATGATTTTTCGCTCTTCGCGTTAAAGCTTGTTTCTCTTTAAGCTCTCCTTCCAAATCAAGCAGCTGGTTTGGCCAATTGTCAGTCGGAACGAACTAAAAAATACTAGCAATCGTCCTTACTTCTTTGCCATTCGCTGTGAGGAAGAGAAAGTCAGGTGAACAGTTTTTATAACATTTTGTTCCATTTGATTCTACCAGCACAGGACGTGCACCTTGTAACTCATTAATAGAAAAGCTTAGAAACTAGCACATTCACTCGACATCATCTATTCTGATTTCAAACTCAGGTAATTATAAGGGAGTAATCATCTGTTTTTTGTGAGCCTTAATTAAGTCATATCAGCCTACCTTGACTATTTTTCGAAGGCATTCCTTCTCAGCTCTGTTACAGTGTCACTGCCAATTTTATGACTATGTATGATTTACATGGCAAACTTAGTTACAGTCCCGCCAACTCAGCGTTCATGCCAAAATGTTTCCGGTCAGTGAGGCAAGTGTATCTTCCCGGAATTTTCAATTTTTCACCAGGTGAAGTAATTAAACACACTTCAGTGGTATACAATAGCAGAAGTATTTCAACCATGATTAAAGCCAAGAGCTTATCAAAGTTATCTTATTATAATTACAGAAAGTTCATTTCAATCATTGAAGAGTCCCTTGGCTTTTAAGAAAACATTCCTCTAAATGATTGGTGTTTTTTAAGACAAAAAAAAGCAAACCTAGACATATTTTTTGTCCTTCAAGACACGTTAAGCAATATTTTACCTCCTGGAGTTTTTATCGCTCGTAAAGGGCAACAGGTGTGCGTGAAATGCTACAATATTAACGAACAGCCCATTCTAAATCCCTGATGGAGATCCAAATCAAATAGTACTCTTGACTTGTTTGATTCTGCACCCTCGGAATTAAAAATAGAAACCCTTTTGGTATTTTGTCCAAAGTCATTTTGCATTTTAGACAACCTGAGACAAATCACCATCGGCAAGTGGGGCCAACGAAGAAACAAAACTCTAGTCGGGCTGCTGTATATCATGTACGCTGTAGTGATCTTGCAGATGGAATCTCAGCTTTATCGTGATTTAAAATTAGTTTTAATTTAGACGTCACTGTTAGAACTCCCCAGCATGTAATTTTCTTTCACATGGCGCTCATTTTGGTTCACTGAATCTTTCAGGAAGGCTTAGTTTTGATCCTTGCAAACATTACAAATAACGCATTTCTAAATAAAATTATTCGAGAAAAACATTACTCTGCGAATACCGCGCTGACTACTCACGATCAAAGACGAAGCCGATTTAATGTAAATCCTGCAATCTTTTACCCTCTGTGGAGTGCGACTCTTGGGCTTGGATCAGTAGGAGAATTAAATTGTAATAGGGGATTTCCTGGCGCTAAAGAATGATTTAATTCTTTAGTTGGCAATATCTCAGTTGTAACAGATTTGTTATTACCGTGTCTGATTGAGCCATCTCTGACCACATCCGCCAGAAAGCTTTACAAGAGAAAATTTCTTGAATCATTGCACGTACGTATATCATTTTCACTTTGCGCTGCCCTTTATGTAACCAGTTCAGCAGTCTCATTGACGATGTCGATTGTTCAACGAGCAAATTATATAGAATGATAAAGAAGCAATGATGGAAAAACGTGAAATTATTAGTGTACTCTGACAAATACTGGAACAAGAAAAATAACATGGGCAGGTAATCCTTCTCTGCGAAACTTATAAAGAAACACATCAAACCCCGGCACTCCTACTATATTTTGATTTTGATATTATGCAACCTCTTCTAATGAATAGTAAACTGAAAACGTTAACAATATTAACTCTATATTTATCTTACTTTTAAAATCTATGTACGAGTTACCCCTTTCTTCTTAATTTTAATTGTGTAAATGTTTTTTGATTTGCCCCTGTTTGAGCCGCCATGCAACTGAAGAGAACAGGCCAATACTGACCAGAAAAGGTCATCATCGAATCCGGATGTTAGAGGAATATACTCGAATAATACCGGAAAAAATAATCATCTACTAACAAAAATTTAAACATATCCAGATATAATAAAATCACAGAAATTCTCACCAGTTCAACTGCTCTGTATTGACTGGTTTGAATGGAGGGTGTCTCTCTGTTAAGTTCGTTTGACCGCGAATTCATGATTTAAGGAGCCCGTTCCTCTCCGCCGGTGACAGCAAAGCAAAAATGTAAAGATTTTGGTCTGTTCAGTGATTCCTGGGATAATAGCTGTCTGGCAAATGAGTGACCTCCGGAGGACCTCTGTTCAGCTGAAGTGCTCAATCTTGTATTGGAATGTGATGGCCTATCTTATTAAAATTCTTGTTAGAACAATTGTTTTAGTTTTTCTTTACAAAAAAGAGCTACTTTCATTTATAATTCTCCATTCAGTAGAAGTGTTTTGAACTGCAATTAAGACCATCAATGGGCTAGGATAATCAGAAAAAAAAACCTTATTTGCAAACATACCAGCTACAGAGAGAAGCATATGAATGTGCTTCAAATAATTTTAGCGCAAAAGATGCGAGAGTTAACGGAGCGGATTTATCTAAAGCCGATCTAACGGTCACTCCCATGTACTAAGCTACCCCCTCTATTTAGTGTATCCTTTTATAGTAGCGACTAGTAAGCATCTTGGCTAGAAGCTCAAGAATATGACTGCCTATGTTATTCATTTGTTATGTAACGCTGCTAGGAAGTAGTCTGAATTTCAGACGATTAATTCGAGTCACTTTTACTCCTTCAGATATTTAATAGGCAGTAAATTAAAAAACACTCGAAGTAATCGTCTGAAATTCATGCTATGTTATGAAGACGGATTTTCAAACGGTTTGTTCCTGAGTTGACTGAAATGAGATGGTGTACAAGCCTTTTTACTGATAAGCCGTTCAGTGTTTACCTAACTCGAGCTAATTAAGTTAACGCTTAGGGGACATATTTATTTGTTATGAAGCTGTGATTTTGACATTTATATTGATTAATTTACTGGAAGTCAGTACCACGGTGTGGCCCATTTTATCGGACACAGTGATCCCTACTGAATACGGCCAATTTTTAGGTCTTTTCACTTGGTCTCAAATTCCAAACTTTAGACATAAATCACTAAGTCTATGATACAGATTTCTACTCTAATGCAGACACTTGGCTCTGTCCCTTCGGTGTCCATATCCAGGAGGTTTGACTGTAATACACTCAGATACCTCTGTAATACAGACACTTTACTCTGTACCAGGCCCGTGTCCATATTGAGGAGATTTGACTGGAATACACTCCGACACATCTTTAATGCAGACTCTTGGCCCTACACCTTTGTGGTGTCCGTATTAAGGAGGTTTGACTATAATTTTTTTTTGCTAACTTCAAGTTTAATACCGAGTAATTGGCCGGAAATAAACAAAATGGGCGAAATTTAAGTGACAGTTAATGAGGTATTAAATTCTAATCATGTACGCTAGGATAATTTAAGGAAGTCAAAAAAGGTCTCACAGCCGGCGATTTTTCCTGCCGTAACGTTTGTATAACTGGAATCAAACGTACAAGTCACTCGTTTCGGTTCTATTCAATATCCTGGAGCAGCCGGTTCTCTTCCAGTCTTGGGTGTGACACCGACAAAGATAATAATCGCCAAGGACAACGACAGGCCTCATTTCAGTATCAATGCCTTTACAGAAGAGTCTAGGTATTTTCTGGCCTTATATTATCTCATTTGACGAGCTCATTGAACTGACAGGGTCTTCAACACCCGAGTCTACAGGGAGTTAGTGAAAGAAAGTGGACCAAGAGGTGGTCAGGCAATGTCGGCTACATAACGTGGATTCCTGTGCAGGAAGGTTCTGGAAGGCCCAAAAACACATGGCAGACTTTGTGACAGAGACAGGAATAATACACGGGAGAGGCAAGCCTACTCGCTAAAGACGGATGGGACTAGATGGAGCCGGGAATGCATCCATGCATGCGGAACTGAGACCTGAGTTTAGATTGTCATGTCACTCGGTCAAGAAATGTAACTTTAAAACTGTAACCGATTTAATAAGTCTCCGAGAGAGAATTTCTACAATAGTCAACAGCAAAACAGCAAAATTACCAAACGTAAACCGATTGGCATTTGACATCACCAATAAAGTAAACAATTAATTTAGCATAAGAAATGTTATTCAATGGTTACAGTAAATATTCATCGGTTTGAAAATAAACAAAGTAATTAATCATACAATCGATCATTTTACTTACGGGAATTGGTGTGTTTACTGCTTGATGAAGATTGTCTCGTCAGTGCTGACTTCTTCATATCCTTGAAAATAATAAAATGAACCGAAATTATCAACGCAAAAGGTTTCTCTTTACTACCTGCGCACAGGGATGCCCAAAAGCAACTTAAGAAGAAAAAATATTTTGCAGAGTTGGGATCATGACCACTCGTAAAAAGAAAGGGGGAGGATCTGAAATCTAAAAATTTAATTTAATTTGTATATTCACCGCTGAGAGACTGGGAATTCATGGAATAAAATAAAATCGCGGGATAAGGAAAGCTAGATTTTGAACTCGCGCGTTTTCAAAATGGAAACGAAATCTAATGTAGTTTGACTTAAATCCTTTAAACGGCTCAGGAATCCAACCTGTTCAACTGAACATCTTTCAGCCTTCTAAATGGACAACTTCTCCTTTTGCGTTTTGTTCGATTTATGTGAAACACAAATTCGGTTGCAAGTTTATTTCCAAAGCTTTTCCCATCGAAAGCGCACTTCCATTCAATGCATCTATTTTTTGCTACAAAATTTATGTCCAGTCGGGTTGCAAGTAAATTCGGTTGAAATCGGAGTGGCTTTGTAATCTTGATGGTTTCCGTTTCTCAGTTGCTTCCGAAAATGGATGCCCATAATTCAAACGACTTGATAGACTGTCATAGGGTTTTCACCCGAAACAGTTGCACTGAAATAAGTTGCATGACAAAAGTTGAAAAAACACAAACTCTCTACGCTAGGATACTCAGGAGATGAAAACATGCAAAAATATAAACCTACCTTAGCTTTAAATTTCTTGTCGTAAGGACATAAGCAATACTCAATGTTTTCACTCGGCCCTTCTCTGCGGAATGACGCCAGTTCATATTCGCTGCCATAAGTAAATAAGCAGCGTATAACACGGTATTTAAAATCACAAGGGGTTGTATTGCCATTTTTAGAGGATAACGCGATAAGCTCTGACAGTTAATACTACAAGATAACGCGAAAAAATTCAACTCATTTTGTCTCCTTTTGTTTTTTTTTTCTAGAGAATAAAAGACAAACATGCGCTTTAAAGGCCCCCTGTTGATTCCTTTTCTTAACATTTTTGTTTTGACTCTACGTGGGACGTACTCTGATATTTACCAAGCTTTTGTTTGGAACAACTCAGCGTTCACTTCAATGAGGAATGCAGCAAAAACAAGATCCGCTCGGCAGCAATATTTACCATACTATATAAAGTCAATGCGCGGCAAAATGGAGCTCATTTGCGCGCTATGCAAATTGTTCTGGTCACGTGGGCTAAGCAAAAACATAGGGTAGAGGTCTTTTTTGCGAATACGAAGAAATTATCACAACAGGTGCAACTATTGATCAGGAATGGATACTTTGTTATTGTCTTAGTTTATTTTACGTACAGAAAAGAATAACAAGATGCTCTTATCGATTATCTGATGCATCAGACACATCAATTTGAGCAGCCATTTGTAAAGTATATTTAAGACTCTCCCGGTAAGCGATCGATAAGTAGAGCAATTAAGGGAGTTTGATGATGATGGTTTTCGCTATTTATACAAGACGACAAACACGTGATGAAATGCGCTACTAACCTATTGTGAGTATAAAATTGGAAATATTTTGGCCTTGTATACTTCTTGCGTTTTTATGTATCAAGATAATGTGGTCGTCCATAAAACGAAAACAAGAGCCAATATCCTGCAGCCATCTTCGCCTTAAACAGCCTGCTGAACAGGAGCCGTCACTAAAGGGATCAACCGTTGTGAGATCCATCAATTGGCAAAACAATATAACTAGTGGGTTAGACTGTTATGCGGCCTTATCGTGCCCACACTCGTTTAGCTCTATAATCCGGAGCCATATAATAAACCCCATTATCGACAACCTTTTTTAACAATTGCTGCCTCATTTTCCGGAGTTGTCTGTTTGGCATTTGTTTCATACATTATCAAACCGTGGAAAAAATTATTAATAGTGTGCACTCTCCACACCAATTAATTAACTCAAGTGCTTTTCACTCATTTAATATTTACTGACTGTGATAGATAGACTTTCTGATTCTGTCTTTTGACAGCTAATTGTTTTGTTATGTTCTCTGACAATCGCTGGCCATTCCACAAATTCCGACCCTCTTACTAATTTGACTTATTATGTTAAAGGCTGAAAAATTCTCTTCATTTAGACTACAAGTCTCAAGCTGCACGCAAAAAGGAAACTCGAGGTTTTTTAATCTTTTTTCGATGGTCATTAGATAAAACCAAGACTGTTTTAAAGTCCACTACTTATCTGTGAGATAGTTGAGTTCGAGCGCTTACTACTGGGCGGCCATTATCGGCGGTTTCAAATGTAACCTGACTAGCCTTGGATACGGTGGACGAAGCCTCGATGCCCGAAACCGCGAGTAGAGTAGAGTGAGTTGCTAAGTCATATGTAAATGTCGCCAAAAATCTGTAACATCTGTAACAGCTGTAAAAATCTGTTGCTTCTTTTGACTACTTGTTTCAAGCTAGCAATTGCCGCCGGTTGAGCAATAAGGTATTCCCGAACACCGAACCGTGTGTCATCGGCTAATTTAACTTTTAAACAATTCTCGCGTTGAAGACTCAACGTTTTAACTTTACAGTTTTATCTCTTTTGTTCACGACTTCTTCTCTCCAGTTCTCCACCTTCAGTATGCTTTAAGTTAAATCGCTTGAGAGCGCTAAAAAAAAAAAAAAAACATTCAGTTTCCCATCAACCAAATAGCTTACTTGTTTCCCCTTCTTATTCCGTGGAATTGAGCGCAATTTGAAATTTATGTAAGAATCAAAGTAACCTGCGAACAGCAGACGCATTTCCGGTCGTCGCTTCTCTCCCTCCGAAAATAGCTGTTTTTCGGAGGGAGAGAAGCGACGACCGGAAATGCGTCTTCTGTTCCCAGGCCAGAATCAAGTATTCTCGTCCAAATTAACGTTAGCTTACAAACAGGAACTACCCTGCTTGAAAAGAGAAAAAGCCCGCATGCAGTCTACTGGACTTCAAAGCAGCCCTCATTTTTACGTAGGTCAAGAACGGGGAGCAGTCAAACGAAGATACTGGAGCGAGTAGGGTGAAAACTGATAGAGACTGGGGAGAGACGCGAATTGCGCGTTCAGCCTTCCCCCGCATGGGCGTCTCTACTCTCTCTTGAAAAGCGATTTTGGGAAGAAACCGACTGCCTTTGCCCTCTCAAGTAGTCTACATTTATCGTCAAAAGAATGGCATGTTTTAATATTTCCCTTGAACAGTACGTTACTTGTAAGTGAAACAAAGACATTTAAACTCTTTCAATAGAGGAGGGCTTAGGATTGTTTAACAGCCACGGCCTGGGTAACTAGAAGATTGGAGAGCAGGGTTTGGAACGTTCCTTACAATCCCAGGCCCCCCATTACAGGCCCCGTACAATATCAGGCCCCCCATATCAGGCCCCCCCATTCCAAGCCCTCCCATATCGAACCCCTCATTTCAGGCCCCTTACCATATCAGGCCCCCCCACATCAGGCCCCCATTCCCATATCAAACCCCCCATCCTAGGCCCACCATTCTAAGCCCCGACGATCAATACGAGGCCCCATGTTAATAATTATAACAAGACTAATAATAAAAATACTAATGATAACGATAATATTAATAGCAATAATCAATAATAATATTAATACTAAAATTCTTAATGGCAAAGCGAGTGAGAGTGCCGGAAGCCAGAAGTTTATTTAATAAAAATGTTATGCTTGCGCCATGCGTCACGCCGAGTATTTATCGTCTGTTCTCTCTGTATATTTTGATTGTTGTTGTTGCTTTTAGTAGTTGCCTTGTGATTGCTTTGCAAAAAAGCATGAAAGTGCTAGTATCAATAAATTTCAAGACTACTCCACTACCCTATTTGTATTCTGTTCTAGGTAAATCACTCTTTTGTAGATGAGGACGTCACTCTGATACCCCGTTAACAGGATTATGATCGTTTTTTACCTGCACCAGAATTGAAAGACTAGAGAGGCCCTAATTATTTTCGACTTAACAATTTTGTAGAAAAACGTGCATGGGTTAAGTTCGTTTGAACCTTGTGACCTTGGAAAAAATTACTTTATTTATGTGACAAGCTATTACGGTCAGTGGGGAACGTGTGGTGGAAACCTTTTGGTTCGGTTTAATACGTGCTTCTTGCATGATAAATTACACTCGCTGTACACTGATAACCCGATAACCGATGAGAGAAAGATTAACTGCAACGGAATTGCAATGACGTCGGGAGCAAATAAAATTGATTTGATAATGTTGGTCCTATGTCGGTCCCGTAACCGGTTCGGCTGTGTTATGGGCTCGAAAATCCTTCAATAAGAATGAGCGAGACCAGGTTTTTTTTTTCGAGCATGCAAGACTAAGTCCCCAGCCAAATCCTTGTCTTCACTAAAACGGCTGGACGCATGACCTGGTTGAGGTCATTGTTATCTAAGGTCTTCCTAAGTGCTCCTGAATACGTACAATATTCTTTCAACAAGCCTACGCCCTAACCTAGCCCGGCCCCCGCTTTCGCACGAAAGGAGATCGAGAAAAATTGGGGACCCTCGAAACCACACTAGATATCAGACGTTTCTTTTCTTTTCTGTTATTTTCTGTCAGTGTTCTGTCATTTTTTTCCTTGCGGTAAACATTGCCTGAAAAGTCTACCCTTTAATATATTTCAACTAGTGAAACACATATCCTTTCATACACCCGAAGACTTAAAAACGAACTCCTTTGGGTTCGGTTAAGGCCTCCCCATAAAGGCTGTCACCGCTGAGCTTCCCCGGATTCCCCTGATGCCCGATGTTAATTAAGTACGTTGTGTACGTACAATGTCAAACCCCACGCTTCATATCGCTTGACTACACGAACAAGGGAAACGAAGCCCCGCTGCAAAACCAGGCCCCACTCTTTAAACAGTACTCCCAGCAGAAGTTCGTATGTAAATATAGTTCTAAGACTACAAAAAGCCACTCTTTCTATGAAAACAACAACTATTGGGCTGAAAACCTCTTAGCTAATCCTATGATAGCTTTACAATGAGAACACAAAAGTATGATGAACAACATCGGGCCATCTCTGGTGTCGCGACACCATAAACCCTATGTGTTCGGGGAGTAAGGTTGCAAGGTCGGTTTATGTTTGCTTTGTCATTTCCGGGCTTCGACCTTGAGTGCACCTTTCCTTCTCTAAGCAGGGTTCATGGACGTGTTATGTCTTTTTGTCAGTCTTCTGTTGTACGGCTCCACGGTTAATCAACACCCATCCATCGCGTCGGGACCCTTCGCCTGCTCGTCGTCGTTGCTGCGTTTAAGTTAACATAAGTTCTGAGTCATTGAGAGGCAAAATTTCCCACTTTTCAAGCACAATCTATTACGTGTCCACGTTACATTTAGAGAAATAAATTAGGGACGGGGGGAGGTATAACCCTTTGGGTCATCGACGAGAGCCGCGTTATAACTGCGAGTCCTCAAATTTGAATAGAAACACTTTAACGTACACGCAGAATAAATAACTGAAGAAATTATTCAAATATGATAATACCTATACATTCGCAATAACTTATCGACCTTTCTTACAGTACTAGAACTTATTTAACTAAAACAGGCCAAATTTTGGGTACAAAGGTATTTCATTGGGACCTCCCATTTGAAATTGCGCACTCAAACGTCAGGATTCGTGACTTGCAAGATTGTGGAATCTATTTTGAGCAAACGGTAAAGCAATTTTGCGGATGTCCGCATTAAGGTGTAGGTGATGAGGTGTAGGTCGTAAGGTGCTAACACACGGATGTTTGAGTAAGGGTGTAGGCCTTTTGTAAGGTTGGGTGTAAAGGTATATTTCCGAGCAGTTAA